GTCGTCAACGAATCACTAAAATATTATTATCTACGATTGAGTCGAAGTCGAAGTCGATTTTGATGATGAGATGGTGAGATGCAAATCCCGGTGAATAAAAGGACATTGCACGAAAAATATCATGTATTTGAGCAGAGCAGAGCAGAGCAGAGCAGAGCAGAGCAGAGCAGAGCAGAGCAGAGCAGAGCAGAGACAAAATAAAGTGACAAATAAAACTAAAAGGAAAAGAAATAGAGAGACGGAAAAAATATAGAAAARAAAGAAAACTTTCGAAAGAAACTCACACCCGTGGTATGCATTAACGCTTCTGGCTACGACAATGTCCTTTTATGAATAGYGAKTGGGYAGTTTTAACTGAGAAGAGGTCAACGGGTTCCTAGGAGTAATAGTATATGTTCTTATGTCCAAACCMGATTTCAKTGATAAGAGATGGCAAGTGCGATTAAAATCACAAATAACATTTATCCCCAGGAAACTAAACATTTCCCACGTCTCAGGTCCTCAAGAAATAAACAGACAAAAACAAACAAACAAACAAAACACTAAACAAAACAATAAGCAAAAAAGTATTTCAGTTCAGCATCCTGTTCGCAGAAGAAGAAAAAACGTTAAAGAACAGTTAGTTAAACGATCTAAAGGAGATTTAAAGGCCCACCTACGTCCATGCGTCTTTTCGATCGTTTCTTTTGTTTGACAAATAAAGTAATATGCTTTCTGATTGGTTCAAAATCAGAGATGGCAAATTTTCGTAGTTTAGAAAATCGTGCAAAGGTTCTTTGATGCAAGTGGGCCTTTAATAATGCACACTACTTTTAAGAAGTCCTTACCGGTATACGAGGATATCCAACAACACCTTTGCATTAGTCTTGACAGCAGTATTTAACAATTTCGGAGTAGAATCATTCGTAGATATCCAATAACACAGTGTAAATGACTGAATATCTGGTTTAGTTTGGATTGTTAAATGTGCAGTGTTATTCAAAAGGAATCCTATACCATGTTGCAAGCCAAAATGGTAGCGCTCTAGATATAAAAATGTGTAAGTCCAAGGAAAGCAGCTAATTGAATTTTGAGATTTGCTAATATTGTATCTATTTAAGTATTGGCCCGAGTAAGAACTATAGCAGCAAACGGCAAAGGAATGCAAGAAGGTGCTAATTGTGTATTGTATAATCCATCCATCCCATTGGTTAAAACATGAAAATCTGCTATATTTTTACAAGTTAGCGCATTTTCTACTATTTTATTTAATATCTGATTCCGACTTCATGAAAGCTTTCTTTAACTACAATATTAAGGCAATTCTATGTGGGACACATAGCAAATTAGAAGCTTCTTTTGGCTATTGTTTTGAGTGCTTATGATTGGATAAGAAGTTTTAATACAAAAGAAACTTAGTTTCAAAATACAGTTTATCCACATTTTATTTCAAAAATGCGTTACACATAGGTTGATATATAATCACTGTGAAAACCAAGAMATTTGTATGTGGGGAAGTTGCAATGCCGCAGAACAATAGAGAGTTCTACAGTTCTTACGCGCATTGTTACTTAATGTTCATTTCTTTTAATGTACTTAGCTTATTTTTACCTGCAGAATTCAACGATGAACAAGCAGAGAAAGATATTAAAGCTGGGATAAACATTATGGGTTTGCCGACATCATTTGTATATTTGCAGGCATCCCCCAGCCCCTCTCGATTGCGTTTCGAAGCTAGATCACACATGCTATTTGTGTGTTTTAACGCGATGCTGCTTTAGCAAGTGGGAGAGGTGTAGCGAACGTTCGTTGAACTGAGCTCAGACAAGTACAAGTATCAGGAGTGAGCCTTGCTTGTAAAGTAGGGGTTATTTGGGTTACCCTATCTCTATGGAAACCGGGTCTCACTATTGAAATACGCTTATTAATAATAACAACAAAAGCCTACCTCGTTTGGATCTTGGGACACGGGAAAATTCTTTGTCATCTAAAATGCTCCAATTCAACACAGACGACAAGTTTTTCCAATCTTSCCATTCTGCACGAATGGTCAGTTGTAATGCATCTGTTTTCATAAATGAATGAACTGATAAACCAACGAATCCATTCGTTTATCCTTCGTTATGTCTGTCAGACTTTAGTATACTAGTATACAACTTAACTTCCAATATCGTCAGTCTAGTATGGGTTGTGGATTTTCAAAAACTCGCAGTATAGCTCCAAAAATAGCATAATCGTGCTGACAGAAAAATAATTAGTGCTTCTTATGCCGACGTCAGAACACGCAACGTCTTCTGGGAACTGAACTGGAATTGCTGCGTGTTTTTACTTTGTTGATCTAATCCAAAAGAGGCTTTGGCTTAAATCATTTGCGTTCAACGCAATTCTTTTTTAGAAAAACCTCCAACATCCTAATTCATGTTCTTGGGGAACATCTAAAGAATAATTTCGCTTATACCGGCGCAAAACAGTGGAACTCGCTACCACAATATTTTGAAGGGAAGGAGTTGCTCAGTACGTTAAAACGTTCATAATGATAATGAAAAACTTACTGTATTCTGTAGAAACAGTGATACTGTATTCTGTATTCTGTATATACTCCTTTAAATGAGGACGCAAAGTGCGAAGAAAGCGATAAACAAAATATCTACCGCAATTTCTTGTAACGAATCCTCTTCTATTTCCTTCGCACAGTACAGTAATATATTCTCCTTGATATATATAATAGCATC